TCGGAGCTTCTCGATGTTGGAGGCCTTCCACATCAAAAGTACCGGTCCCCAGGTGCTGTACCTAGGTGACTCGGTACAATAAGTTTTGCAGCTGTTCGGAGATGACATGAGCTCAGGCCTTCTTAAGTTCGGCTGCGATTACAAATGGCTTCATATTTTGATGTACATGAACGTGATAGATGAGAGCCTGCTTCTGCTCGTCGAGTGCCATCTTGGTATATTTCACCCTGATACTCATTTCGAAGTCTTCTCTCTGGGCTGCGTATTCGTTACTGATATGTGCCTCTGGCGAAGCGTCTTTTTTGCCCCTCCCCTGCAGTATTTGGCAAGGAGAGGGCTGACGTCATCGAATATACTTTGGTGGGCTTTTGTGGGAAGTAAAATTGTTTTCCCAATGTTCCATGCTATTTAGTAGATGATTTCCTGTTCTCCAAAGGCTGTGCAAAAGCTGTGATGTATACTACCGAGGAAGGATGCGTTCTGGGACGGCTCGAAGTTGGCCCCATGCGACTAAGAGATGAGAATTCGGACCTTGTAACTGTGCATCGCGTCGGATGTTTTCTTGAGGAACAACTGCCAACTGCAGGACCGATGCACCAAGTTTCTGAACATCTCAAAACATGTGAAGGTGATGCTGAAGAAGGATGTGCAGTATTCCATGGCCGTCACCACTTGCCCGCTCCTTAGTCTTCGGGTCTTTGCGAATAAGCTAATTGTGGGAGCTCTTAATCGAAGCTGTACTGGTCAGTGAGGTCAATATTGAAAATTGTATTTAAAACTTTGCATGCTTTCCTCAGAGAAAAGACTTCTTATTCATTCACTTCAACATCTTCCTCTGCAGCTCCTTTTCTTTGATTGAATGCAAAAAAGGGGAGCGCGAGCGTGTTGAAAAGCTTGATTTCGCCGACTTGACCCTCTACTTTGAGCACGTAGAAATCAGTGGAGTAGAGCAGAACTACGCAAACCATCTCATAGGACAAAGAGTTCCCTACGAACTGGTATACGCTCCTTAGCAAAACGCCTCATTTTCAACACTGATTTCAAGTTAGAAAAAACCTATAAAATTCCATCACTTATGGATCAACCCAATATTAA